CAATGGGAAATGTGATGTCATCTTATTAAAACAATAGGCTTGCCCCCCAATATTTGACCAAGTGTCTGCCCCTGTTTGTTATGTATATACATAAAATCTATAAACATAGAAAGTTTATCACAAGTATTAAATCTTTCTTGGAGTGCAATTAAAAAGATTATCCAGGCCTGGCCGTTTGTATTTTTGCAGGTGAGCTGTCAATCGCTCGCCTCATTTGCTCAGGCGAGCTAAATCCAGAACATATATAATTCATTCAAAATGGTCTATAGGTCAAGCATAACGCTTATAAATCAATGCAACCGTAAGTTTTATGGATCCAAGCAAAGTTTTGATATTGTCCACAATATTACATGCAACATACAAATTATGTAAAAAATGTCAATAATTCGAGTCTACGTAAAAAAGTCACTGTCATTGGACTCTCTGTCTGTCTCAGATTGATCTGAATCTTCAAAGTTTTTATCTTCAAATTGCCTGCCTTTGTCAAGGCATATCTTTTTGCTGGATGGCTCTCCTTCAATTCCTGCTGATGATAGTTTTGTTTTCCGTCTCTTCTCAAGATAAATGTCGACAGAACGTGCCAAGATGTCTTTTTTTTCTTTTTCCGTCCACACTTTGTCATTCCCTTTAACTATCATCAGATTCTCCATGGTTTCGTGAGTCATGCACAGCCGACGATCGTTAAGTAAAAGGGTCAAAACACTAAATGCCCTTTCAACGGCAGAGTTTGATCCTGCAATGGTTATCAACAACTCGATAACAAGGCACAAGTTTGGAAACTGAAGCCTCTTAAAACTCAAAACTTGCCGCCAAAGAACTTTCGGCTCTGCAAAAAGTCCCATCAGTTGTCGTCGGGCAAGAAGCTTGAATCTCTTCCATTCAGAAAAAACATGTTCTGTGCTGATTCCAGCTTCCAAAAGCGGAACAGCGAATCTATCAAGAATGATTTCGAGGCTCTCCACACCATAGTCTACATCGTCTTCCCAGTACTGTGGGTCATAGATTTGCATAGCATGGTAGAGTTTGTTGTCAGTTTCGGGAAACCTTTCTAGAAGCAGACTTTTCAACTTCTTTACAGTGGCCTTCTTTGCATTCGCTGCAATCTCTCGTGCCTTTGCTGAGAACTTCATTCCAGTTATACTTACATCGATGCACTCTCTGTTGACTGGCTTTTTTCTGCCATGCCCCTCTTTCAAATACACTCCAACAATTTCCCCATTACCCTCTACCTTGAACTTTGCAACTTGGCTGTTTAGGAGCTCTTCATCTTTTCCAGCGTTTGCCTCCAAGTCATTCAGCTCTACGACGGTGCTCTCAATTGCCCCCGCGATTTCGTATGGCATAACACCATCCCCTTCAAACACAAGTGATGCAGGCCCTGCCGCCTCTAGTACATCTATGTAGCTAGCCATTTTGCAAAAGCACTCATATGACTGCAACGTTTTTAGTAAGCCTTTAATTTTTGCTTTTGTTTCTGCTGCCCCTGAACCATCCGTTAAGGTATTTTCAAAGGCCGTTATTAGCCCTGGCCACATGTCGACCAAGATTTTCATCCCTTTTCTACGATGGTTCACAAACCGTGTTCCATGGATCTTTGGAAGTTTCTTGTGTGCTTCAATGCCAAGGGCTTTGCATGCAGCATAAACTTGAGCATTTATTTTACCAGAGTTTCTTAGTAACGTGTATATAGTTTTATATTGCTCATCACAAGCACTGAATGCGGATTCTGCTATTGCAGACTTGAAGGCAAGCTCTACTCGGTGATTTGCACAGTGTATCATCAAAAGCCAATCGCGATTCAAAGAAAGCTGTTTAAGAACACCATTGTAAATTCCTGTGTTCACACTTGCACCATCGGTTGTTGCTGAGACCATTTTTGTTGCGTATGCCTTTGCTTGGAGCTTGATCACCCCATTTTTTTCGTCAAAAATGCTATCAATACCTTTTTTAATGGAGTCTGCATCAACACCCCCATATCTACTCATTTCAAGAAGTGATACTATAAGGTAACAGGGTATTCCATTTCTTTCAACACGCAGTAAAATCATTTCCTTTTCCGACCCTGTTTTTCTAGCTTGGGAGCCATCAGACATTAAAGACATGAAATTTTGGCTAGCAATAATTGCTGCACACTTCTCTCGAACAGCGGTTGCAATATAATGAATGTACTCTCTGGCCGCTTTATTGTCGTCTCTCCCTTGAACTAAAACAACCCCGTTTTCTCTCTGGCACTTCACAAGGACTTTAAAGTGTTTTAGAGGCATTGTTGGGTTTACTGCAAGCTGGTATGCGGTCTTGAACATTTTCAAGTAGATTTCTGCTGTACTGTTCTGCAATGCTGCATCAATTCTGGGCTGAATTAGTCGCTTTTCGCCGCCTACGAAGCAGAGACGCGTTTCAATATAACTAGCAAAATTACTCATTTAAGCTATATTTAAAAATATTTGTATATTGTAGCTAAAATATTTTCGCATAATTTTAAGCCATTGAAAAGCATCTTCACCACACTTAAAACCTTGAAATGATCCTTGGTAATGTGTGATGATGATGGCGTGCCGTAACCCCTTCCCCCAACGTTGGGTTTTCTTTTGCTCCAATGTATAAAATATCGAAGATAAGATTTCAGCATCAGAGGGAGGTTGTATCATTGCTAACAGTTACACCTTAGAGACATTCGTTATTCGGTAAACCTGGGAGTCTTCAACCCCTCTTCCACTAATGTTTTTAAGATTTACGCTTGCAGGCAGCAACATATGTATGAAGTATATTCAAAGCTTGGAAAATTTGTCATGTTTTCTCTCTAGTAAAGGAAACTACCAATTCCCTGTATAAGGTAAAAGGGCAGCTATGAAAGTGTTGATCAAAATATCAATAGTGAGAAAGTTGTTAACTGGTTTAAAAACTTTGGAACTCTTAAAAAAAGTTAAATCCGAGTTTACTTTCTTCATAAGGCCCTTCCTTATAAAATATGCGTGTATCAAAAAAGAAGGCAGACTCTATGCCTTGTTAGATGGATTTGTTGCTAAACGCTTTCGTTTAAGTTTTTTATTTAAAATTTACCTTGTTCTTTCGACCCAACATGAAGTCTCTCTTCGCTTGGCAGCCGATTCTCCTCCTCCAGAGCCCACTTGTGTCCTTTTCCTATAATATTTCCATGAAACTTTCATTTTTATAATCAACAAAACGATGGATAAATGATGCAAATTATCGCAGATATGGGAAAATAATATCAAGACAAAATTATATTTACCATCAAAATGGCGCTGAATGTTTGACTTTTTCACCACATTTGTTCCTTTAATATATGATTCTACTGCAGCTCTGGCACTTCCTTTGCACAAAGGATTTGAAAGAATTGACTCTTTGTGTTTTGCGCAAATCTTGCACCACACTAAAGTAACCATTTTTCTCTTACCAATTTCTTCGACTTTTTTACCAAGAACATGCCTGTTTTCGTACGTTTCAAATGTTCTCAGCTCTACAAATGTACCTTTAGATTCACTATCCATTTTCAAAAAGACTGAAGTTATGACTCAAATACAAACGTTAAAGGTAATGTATCCAGCTATAGCAAGGGACTCTGCAGGGGTATTTAGAAACATGTGATTTTTCATATCATCGCCCCAGTCATTACGGTCGTTCTGTTTATTTATTCTGCTGCGAGGTCAGCTTTTCATGTGAGCAGTTTTGCATTGCAAGAACACTAACCAATCGCAAATTGTTATTTTGATGGGTGGCTTGACAAGTTGGGTATACGCAGTCCTTTTATATGGACACATTACCTTTAAGTTTCCTGCCAATTATCAGTTATCTTTATTGGCGATTCCCGACTTCCTGCCGATGCAATAAAAGCGCCCCGACAGGCCAATAAATTTTAGCAAATTATGTGAAGACAGAAAAAAACGTTTTTTAAAAAATAAACTAATTTGTAAATCCGAGGGGAGCTATTTTTTCTTTATGATCATTTCAGGGGAGCAATTAACAGCTCCTCTCGGATGGCGAGGGGAGCGCGGAGGCGAGCGCGAGCTATCGCTCGCCTCAAACGGCCAGGCCTGATTATCATAAGAGTTTGATTTCATTTGATACTATCTTAAATGGAGAAATGAATCTTGTCTGGTTTGATTATGGTTTCAATCAAAACAGTGTAAATTGTTCATAATTTTCAAAAATACTCATATTTCATGTGTTCAAATAATTGCCTTGTTTTTCTCATTTTTCCGAAAATTCAAGTCAAGGTATTGCTTAATCATTAGATATGTTTTAAACACAACATACCTTAACTGCTTTAACTTTCTCAAAGTACTTCCCACATTCATGCTCATCAAAATCACCAAAAAAGAGAAGCTACAAAGAACAAGAAAGACGTTTATTCATTGTATCTTGGTAAAGATTCGTTAAATGCCCAATTACAGAAACTTAAGAAACTTTTAACCCAACATTTCAGAGAGCTACAAATTTGCTGATGATAGAAAACAACAATCTAGAGAACTCAGCCAAAATTTTTACAAAAATTAAATCTTCAAAAATAAATTCATATCAAACAAACAATCAAGAGATCAGAGGAAAGCCTGGAAAAAGAAAATTGCATAAACTGTAAAAAACCATATATATGTGTAAGATCTGAACTGTGAAGTTGGCATTATCCTAGAAACACACCCCTTACAAACTGTTAAGTTCACCTTTCTAAAATTACAGCTTTATAAACATAAAATTATATGCTATTTCATAGGTTTTGAGTTGGGCTTTCACAAGATACTTTCAACAGTTTTCAGAATTGGCTATCCACAAACATGCTTTCTATGGTCTTTATAATAATGATTGTACCAGATCGATTGACAGGGTGATTTGCAAATTTGGTCATTGAACTGACAGTTAGAATTTTCAAGGCTAGTCATTTACAGGCTTGAACTTTTTCACGGGTACTTTGGTAGTATCTTACTTCAGCAGCTATGATAGAAAGAAAAGCTGTTTATCGAGGCCATTTCTTCAGACATTTAGGATCAAAACTTGTAGCATGTAAAGCCCACCTCAAAACCTATTAAATAACTGGGGCATGCTTCTATAACCTGGGCCATCTATAATCACTGATTTGTACCCAGTTTTCTGCTTAGGTTGATAAAAATCACATGTTTATTTGTCATTGTTGAGTAATAACAACTTATAGTAGTAGTTGATGCCCTAAAGGCAAGGTGCATATATGCTTTGGTGTACATAGAACTTATAGCCCCCTGTCCTATGCATTAAAGCATAAATAGAGCTGGGAGCTGAGCCCCCTTGCTAATGCGTAGAAGTAGCCTTTTTCCAATTTTTGTATTGTTTTTACAGTAACATTTTGGTTGCTGACACCCAGTCCTGTCTGCTAGCATCTATATCCCTGAGC